AGAAAAAATGAGACAACACTCTCCATGGGGGATGGCCACACCATAATCCCTTCTCCTCCATTTTTCCTTTCTGGATTTTAGACGTGCACATACACATGCCTAGCATATTTTTCAAGCTGCCGGGTCTGGGACTTGAACAACATAGTCTTGCCATGTGGGAGTCAGCTGCCTTAACCAGTACACCACTGGCTGTTCCAGTCTCTTCTGTTTGGGTTAGATAATTTCATAACTGGTAAATACCAATACAAGGTAGATCATGCTAAGCACTCCATAAATATTATTGATATGTAGCAACAGGGAGGGCTTCCAAAGGGAGGTGAGCAGGAAGAGAAGATAATGATGTGGGGAAAAGGCTCAATGGTTCAGAATGCTTGTAGCAGTTTCTAAAACAAATTTGGATGGAGCAGAGGTTTTTGTTGTTGTTGCTTTTCTAATCAAGGGACTTGCATGCTAATAAGGGTGTTCAGTCTTCATCCTGTGGGCACTTTAAAACAAAATCAGGTTTCTGAGCAGTATATGAACTGCAAATTTGAAGCCTTTACAACCTAACTGTGCTCACAATCTTCCCCCATGTAAGAATGTGTTATGCAGTTGAATCCAGCAGATTTTATAGTGAATTAAAGCACTACTTACATGTGCCAGTTGCTCCTGAATCTACCTTCACTTCGGAATCAGCCGAGAGACTTGATAGATGTAGAAATCTTAGTAACACTCCTGAATTTTCAGCGGGTCTTAGAAACAACCTGGAAACTGCTTTAGTTGTCTGCACAGTCGATCCTGCTGTCACAAGGCTGGCATTCTGGGAACTCTGAAGGACAGGAAGATGCCCAAGCATGAAATCATGAGGGTCTGGATCAGGGTGGTTGAAAGGAGCAGCAGTTGGTAGACGAGAAATAGTCAGAATTTGGCAACTGCTTTCATACAGGGACTCACGCAAAGACAGAATTCATGGTTCTCCAACTTGGGCAATGCCCAAGCGGCAGGTGTTGGCTGTTCTCTGGGGGCAGTTTGGGTTGGACAGGGAAGCACTCCTGAAGATTCTCTGACAGGGAGCAGAGAGGCAGAGAGGATGGCTTAGTCTAGCATCTGCTCTGTGGTTTGGAAATGGAAGACACAAAATATCAGTGACTCAATGGAATTATCCAATCAGATGAAATGAAATGCACGGCAGAGAAGGGACTGACCACATGTGTTGGAGAAGGCCCCAGGACCAGAAGCAGAGGGTGGACTTGCTTTGAGGGGCAGTCAGTATACCTTGCATAACTGGAAGAGGGACATAGCACGATGTGGGGTGGTTGAGAGATTTCATCAAAGAATATAAGAGCTAAAAGAAACCTTGGAGATGATTGTTGGGAGATAATTATGCCTGGATTTCTCAGTGTTCCTGCACACTCTGGGCATTCTAATCAAAGGAAGCAGACAAGTTATATTAAAACTAGAACTGCCGGGACCAGCAGTTAGCGTAATGGCTACGTCGCTGGACTCCCATGTAGTCGACCGCGGTTCAAGTCTCGGACCTGGTGGCTTAAACTCACGCCGGGCGCGTGTGCGTGCGTGCCCAAGATCCTGAGAGGAGAATGGAGGAGAAGGGATTGCGGTGTGACCATCCCCCCTGGGGGATGATTTCTCGCTTTCTGTCTCTCTGTCTCTCTCTGTCTGTCTGGCGAGCACACACGCCTTACAGCAAAAACCTCTCAAAAAAAAAAACAAAAAAAAAAAACTCCAAAACACAAAAAAACTAGAACTGCCTTCCTCTTTCTCTCCAAACTGCTGTTTTCATTAGAAGATTATACAAGTCCTCTCCCCAAGGAGAATTTATTTACATTCCAGAGCGGAGTTCTCATTCTCTCTCTGGAGAGGAGGGCCAGACAGACCAGCTGTCCTATGTAGGCTCCATGTCTTCTAGTTTTAGGATTCTTCACTGTGGGGTGCAGACCCCATGGCACACGCAGGTGGACGTTTGGCCTTCATTACACACACTTTGGGTAACTGGGTCATAGTAACCAACTCAGGGTGCTATTCTGATCATCTTGTTTGTTTTGCTATTAAGAATAGATGTTCTGTTCTCTGCTCCAGAGGCCTGAGATGTGTGTGTGTGTGTGTCTACACATAACTCTGATAGACTAACGTGTTAGATCGTAAGTAGGATCAAATCTCAGAACCTTCAGTTTCAGACTTAACAATAATTGGATTCCTTCTTCATCTTATCCTACATTTGGGGAAATAAACCTCAGAAAGAAGCCAATTGATCTGGCTTAGTCACAGAGCTAATTGAATACGATGGAGTCTGTCTATTCCATTAGAAACGCTGCAGAGGTAATAACAGGACCTGGATTTGGGTCTAAACTTTACCATTTAGTTATGGCAGAGGTTTTAAAAGTCACGTATCAGAACCAGCAGGTGGCACAGAGGTTAAGGCACTGGGATCCCGTGTAGCCAGCTTTGTGGTTTTGGTCCTGAACCCGGTAGCTGGAAAACCACAAAGGACGCATGTACCTGCATGCCCCAAATCCAGAGAGGAGACTGGAGGAGAAGGGGTTGTGGTATGGCCATCCTCCCTGACGGGCGATTTCTCACTCTCCCTTTCTCTCTCTGTCTCTGTCTCTCTTCAGTGAGTACACATGCACTGCAGCAAAACTAAAAAAAAAAATAAAATCGTGTATCAACATTTTGATTTCTTCATCTGTGAAAAGAGTACCGTATTCTATTAACTGTTTTATCTGTACTTTATAGCAACTGTGTGAGAACAGGAAGTGATTTTCAAAAATAGAGCAGTATGTAAAGTTTAATGTAATAACAATGCTGATAAGCAGGCTGGGGAAACCCAGAGGGATAGTAGCTAACATTTTCTGAACATTAACTATGTACCAAGTATTGATTCAAGTAAGAACAATTATGCAACCTACAGAAAAGTAAAAAACAAAAACAAAAACAAAAACAAAAACACCCAAAAACCAGTTATGCAACATTCCTACATAATATAAACAAAATTACCATCTTAACCATTTTTAAGTCTGCAAGTAAGTGGCATTAAGTGCATTCCCATTGTTACCTATCACTACCATCCATTTCCAGAGCTTATTCATTTTCTCATACTGAAACTTCATACCCATTAAACACTAGCTCCCCATTCCTCTTTTCTTCCCCTGCCCCTGGCAATCATTATTCTACTTTCAGTGTCTGAATTTAACTACTCATGTAGCTCATAAAAGTGGAATCATACAGAATTTGTGTCATTTTATATCTGGTTTATTGCACTTAGCATATTGTCTCCAAGTTTTCTCCATACTGTAGTATTTGCAAATAGGAATTCTTTTGATCCTAAAAATTTTGGAAATGTTATTATCCCCCCTCTTTTTTGTTTTTAAACAAATGAAACAACTAAGACACACAATAGTTATGTAACCTTTTTAAGATTCCATAGCTACTAAGCGGAAGAGTTGGATTCAAATGCAGACTATACTTTTTAAAAATATTTTTTGTTATAGGGCACATGCACTTGCCAGAGAAAGAGAGAGAGAGAGAGAGAGGGAGGGAGGGAGAGAAGGCATTCCCTGTAGGAATGGTAATGCTGCAATCCTTTCTCCACTCTCCTGTCATGATTTTGGACATGCCCACACACATATCCTTCTAGTGTTTATCAAGCTGCCAGATCTGGGACTCAAACTGCCATTGGTCCTGTGGAATCCAGTCACTTTTACCTTCGTGCCATCTACTGGCCCTAAACTTCTTTTTTAAAAAAACAAAACTTCATTTATTTAAAAATTCATTTTTTAATTTAAAAAAATTGTAAGAAAGTGCATGCACTTGCCAGGTGGAGAGAGAGAGAGAAAGAAAAAGTGAGAAATCATCCCCCATGGGAGATGGTCACACCATAGTTCCTTTCCTCCATTTGTCCTTTTGGGATTTTTTTGATACACATGCACTCATGCCCAGTGTGTTTTTCAAGCTGGGACTTGAACTGCACACAGTCTATACTTCTAAACACTGTGACATGTTGCCCCCTGAGAGCCTGTCTCCTGCTTTTTGCCAATGTACCCCATCAGGAGTCAGCAGGTTGACTATTACTTTTATAGGCGTGGTTTGTAAAGAGTGAGCAATTTGGGGGAGCCATGGTGTGGACACTGGACATGGATGATGTCAGAGGTACTTTCTGCGGCACTGGCCCTTTCCCCCTTGTCTACGTATTGAACGACCTCCTGGTGCAGCCTGGTAAGTAGCTATAGCCTGGAAGCTGGAATTGGAGATTGAGTAACCAGGCACTGGGTTGGTCCCCTCTGTGAGGTCTAAATGCTTTGGTGAGGCAAATTGACATTGAGGGAAAAAAATAAGGTTTGATATCAGACCAGCATGTTTTCGCATCTTGGTTCAGTTAGAGGCCCCTACTGGACCTCTCTGAGCTTCCTTTCGCTCTACCTATAAGATGGGAATAACCTTGCACTTACACCATTTTTATAAGAACTTAATGAGTTGTAGAATTAAAACTGCTGGTTATTATACATTATATACATTATTATACCTTAATTTATTTTTCAGCTTTCATGGGCAAAGCCTAGTAAAGGGAATTTGATATCTTTTGATATCTCTTTTTTTGATAGTAGAGACTTCCCTGGCAATTAGGAGATGGAACTTAGCATGTAAGAGCTGAAATATCCTTAGAGATGGTTTATAATCCTTATTTTTTGGATAACAAGCCTAAAGTTCAGTGAGATTAAGTCTTTAGGTGGACTCAACCCAGTTATTTATAACATGCTGTCTGGAGCTCTTGCTTTGTTCTTGGTGCTTCCTTCTAGGGGGAGACACAGAAGGCTTCTTGATAATTAAACAAGTAAAGAATTAGGCCTACGGGGCAAGGCTTTGCTGATGTGCAGAGAGGTCAAAGTGAGGGCACAAGCATAGAGAACTGGTAGATTCCTCCCTGGGATTTTTCACTGGAAATACAGCAAATCCAGCAGAATCCCAATAGGGTCCAAAGAGTGATAACATGATAGGGTGGGGGAGCAGGGCTGCTGTGTGGTGGGATTTCATTTATGTTCTCAAGTGGGTATGTTATAAAATTTGGATTTTGGGAGCAGGTACCTGAGCCCTGGAATGGCTCTAGTCCTGCCAGTAATTAATAGGATAGGAAGGAAGAGGCAGAAATCTCATCTTTTTCTGATGATTTTCTCTAGAATTCAGCTCAACTCCTTTACCACAATTTTGGCTCTCATCTGCTGTGAATTCTTCAAGAACTGGCCTTGAAAGTCCTGCTGTGACCAAAGCACTGACCACTAATATTAAGATTTTGCCTCCAGGAGGAGAGGTGATGGCCACTGAGCCCTATGGGAAGTATGAAAATATGACTACAACTCCCAGACAGGGAATCACAGTCCGAAGAAAGGAAACTGTAGTCCTTGGAAATAACATTGCAGCTGTAGGAGGAAAGGCTGAGATCCCTGGGGTGACTTCTGTGGACCATCAGTCAGTGACCCTTGAAGGGAGGATGGTAGCCTTTGTGCATTCCCACTCTGAGACCCCTGGAGAGACCATAACCCCTGTAGGTAATCAGTCAGCCTCTCCTGGAGTGATGACCATAGCCCCTGTGTATCCCCACCCTGAGACCCCTTTCAGGAAGACCATAACCTCTGTAGGTAATCAGTCAGTGACCCCTGGAGGGATGACCATAGCCCCTATGTTTCCCCACACTGAGACCTCTTTAAGGAAGACTATAACCCCTGTAGGTAATCAGTCAATGACCCCTGGAGGGATGACCATAGCTCCTGTGCATCCCCACACTGAGACTCCTAGAGAGACCATAACTCCTATGGGTAATCAGTCAGTGATCTCTGGAAGGAAGACCATAGCCCCTGTGCATCCCTACATTGAGACCCCTTTCGGGAAGACCATAACCCCTGTACGTAATCAGTCTGTGATCCCTGGAGGGATGACCATAGCCCCTGGGCATTCTCAAACTACAGTCTTTAGAGAGAGCACAATGGCCCTTAGAAAGAGGACTGTGACCCCTGAAAAAGTGACTGTACCCCCTGGAAAGATACCAGTCACCCTTTATGAGCAGACCATAACTCTAAGAGGGGAAAATTTGACATCCGAGGTGAGCACTGTCTCCAGGATTCTTGGGTCTTTTGATGGAAGCTGAAGACGAGTTGCTGTCCTCTGGCCCCATCATCCTGCCCCCAGGATGCACTCTTGTTTTTGACAACCCCTTTTCTCTCATTTATGGGAACCATTTCTCTGCAAATAATGACCCTTCCAACAAGGGTCTTTTATTTCGCTAAATAGAGAAGACCTAGGAAACTACTGTAGAGCAAAGAGGCTAAGCTCTATTAGTGGCAGAAGCTGAGGAAAACCCTTGTCTTTTCTTTTAAGTGATGTGACAGAAGCCATCTTGACCCTGGCCATTTATAAAACAGTGATGGAGCACAGTAGGCACCAAAGTCATAGTGGGTCAGTGTCTTCTGTTGAATAAACTGCAAATGTAAGAATCTACCTGAGTTCTGAGATTCTTTTTTTGAAATGACTTGTGCAATCCACCTGTCAGCTTCTCTCTTTCAAGGTCATTTTCTTCTACTGGTGTTTTTGGAATGAGGGTGTCTGTCTAGTCTACAATGAGGTTTTCCAGTGTGAAGTATGAGAACTGCTTGCTCCACTGTTGATAAGAGCCAGAATCTCTTTTAGAGCAATTTTAAGCAATACTCAAGGGTAGCAGGAAGAAGGAGGGGGACATTGAATCTTCTAGTTACCTTCTTTGCTTGTTAAAATTTTAATTGTCTCTGAAAAAACACTCCCACCTATTCTCTTCTTAAGAAATGGTTGAGGAGGAGGCAAAATAGAATTTTAAAAATTATCTTTTATGGGAACCAGCAGCTGGCATAATGGCTGTATTGCTGGACTCCCATGTAGTTGACAGTGGTTCGAGTCCCAGACTCAGTGGCTTAAACTCATTCCGGGTGCGTGTGCATGCATGTTCAAGATCCCGAGAGAAGAATGGAGGAGAAGGGATTGCGGCGTGGCCATTCTCCCTGGGAGGTGATGTCTTGCTTTCTGTCTCTCTGTCTCTCTTTCTGGTGAGTGCATGCACCCTATAGCAAAAAACTCTCAAAAAAATTATCTTTTATATGGAGGAAATTCAGTAAATTCATGGAAAGATAATAGCATGTGTACAATATCTTTTTTTTTAAAGTTTATTTATTTCATCCATGAGAGAGGAAGATGAGGAGAGAGAACAAAAAAGAGAGAGAGCAAGAGAGACACCCCCGACAAGATTTCTACACCATGATTCAGCCCAGTCTCAACCTGTCTGAATCATAGGCATGCACACACATTTCCAGAGTGCCCAAGGAAGTCCCAAGATGAGACCCCTTCTTCCGATATGGGTCCAGTTGTGTCACTGCTGTGCCTGGCCCCCAAACCTTTTTCCCCTAATGTTCTAAGAAGAAACAGGGAGAGAACATAAGGTAGTCATGTGTGGGTCTTCCAAGAAATCTGATATTTAATATAACAACTCAGTTTAATAATTCAGTATAACCATTTTAAAAAGGACACTTCTACATCTCAGTCTTCAAGTCCATGAGACTTCTGTAGTTCCCATTTTAGCAACAGTAGTTTAAAAAGCTAAGCTTTTGGGAGTATAGCTCGGAGGTAGAGCATTTGACTGCAGAAAGCTTAGCTTTGTAGGTGAGTTCTGCCATACTCATGGATTACTGTACAGGTATAGTTTGAGTTTCCAAAGCAGGAAAGTAGCCCTTTGAAAGTAGATTAGAAAGACAAGTAGAAGCAGGTAAACAGCTGACTTTTATCTTACTTCCCTCCTTTTCACTTTCCTTCTTTTTGTACAGAGTTTTAGTTGTTCTCACAAATGCTGCATTCAGTCTTAGACTCCGAGTGTCACATTTCCCAGCAAACTGCTCTTTTCTAGAATGACTTAGATGCCTTCTAAGATGGATCAAGAAATCTTTATCTAAAATTCTTCAAATGCAGCATTGAGACCCAGGAAATCTGAAATCTTGATTTTGGCTCCTTGTGATCTATCCCTCTAAATGCCATATGTGTTTCCCATCTCCTCACATTTACCCATATTACCCCAACTTGGAAAATTATTTTTAAATTTCCATTCATTACTCTGAATCCTTACCATATTATCTCCTTCTTTTTAAATCATTATTATTATTATTATTATTTATACATTCAATCACTATACATCATTTAGATTGTAAAGAGACTTTACCCAGCATGATGCACATCTCAGTCCAGCTGAGAATACTATACACATCTTCATCAACAGATAATAAACTACATTTGTGCCCCACAAATATCTTACCTCTCCATTTTCCCCCCAAATTTCCTTTCCTGCACTCTTCCTCTCCCACACTCTCCTTCCACTTTGTCTCTAATGTCCATAACAATTTTTAATGCTTGTATGTACTCCAGTCTTTCAGTCTCTACCATAGGGTACGGACAGTCTATATATGTTAAGTGGGGGCATACAATGTCTCTCTTTCGTAGCCTGACTTGCTTCACTCAGCAACAAATCTTCCGTATTTGTTCACTTTCTATCAAATTCCAGGGCCTTGTTGTTTTTTATGATCGAATAATATTCCATGGAGTATATGTGCCACACTTTTTCAATCCATTCATCCATTTGTGGACATTTGGGTTGATTCCATGTCTTAGCAATTGTGAATAGTGCTGAGGACAATATCTTAGGCTAGTTGCATAAACTACAACCCGACAAGGAGATGCAATGAGGACCGATTGCAGTGGACCACCTGTACATGTAGTGAGTGTATTTTCAGAAAGGAACCCTGAAATTAGGAAACTCTGATCTTAGATAGGACTGCTAGCGACCTGGCCATTCTTCCCTTCTCTCCCTTGTCCAGAAATAGAAACCTATTTGCAGCTCTCAAGCTCTTTGCTATTCAAATACCTTTGAAAAGATAGTCCAAGATGTGTAGAATGACAGACCTGTGCATGGAGAACACCCTTGGACTGTTCTAGAAATAACCCCACAGCCATCTCTGCCTGCAGATCTGCGTCTGTGATGTTAGAGACCGGATACTAGACTCTCTGCTTCAGCTTCCCCCAAAGATCTGGTTTTCTCTGTGGAAAGCAGTCAATTTGAAAACATGTGATTAAAACATGTGACCTGAATAATTGTGTCAATAATCTTGCTTCTGTTTATTTTTCTACCAATCTGCAGAATGACTCTATGAGAGCTTCATACAACAGCCATCCAGCTCCACAGACTCAAATTAGAAAAAGAAAAAGGGGGATATGTGGAGAGCAGCCAATCTGAAAACATGTGATTAAAACATGTGGCCTGAAGACGCACACAGATATGCGCTTCTGTAAGCTACTCTAGCAGAGCTATTGAGAAGCATCTACATACGAAAGTAGTACCTGCCTGTTGTCAATGGCTGTCTTCCTGCTCTTCTTGAAACTCAATACCCAGTATCAGGCTAAGGGAAGTCACAAGCCTTTTTCAGATTATTTCCCCATAAGGATCTGTGAAATTATAGTCATTTTCACATCTTCAGTCGATTTACATCCTAAAACAACTGGCTTTGCATCCTAATTTCACTTCCCTTATTCTCTTTGCATTCCACTTCCTTCTTCCCCATTCCTTTTACATCCCATTTTCCCCTTCCCCCATTTTCTGCCCTCTAAAAGAATAAACCTGAGGCTAGTTATGGTCGCAATTTCTCCATCAGAGAAGTTGTGCCCACCCGATCCTCACATACTTGTGTGTGTGTCTTTGTGTGTTTTGTCACTGTGTCTATTTCTAATCCACAGCCTTCCCCACTCAGAGAAACGTGTTCATGCTGAGCTGGCCTCGGCACTTCTCCATGCACTTTTCTCCTTTATTCCATAATTCACCTCCTAAGGCAGAACACAGGTCTTATATAAAACCCTTACTTCTGAGAATCTGGGAATTATAGGTTTAGTTTGCCAAGTTATATTATAGGAAAGCACACTGGAAGGGTTAGAGTAGATATTGTGTTAGCTAATGTTCATCAGCTGTAAGGATCACCCTGTGGCTACCCAACATACATGTATGTCCTTATTCTCATACCCAAGTACCCCAACAATAACAATTACAATAAATGCTCTCATTTAATATAATACACCATCCATCCTCCCAATGAAATTGTGGCAGTGGTTAGAACAACTTCAAAATGGAATACAGGGTTGGCCCAAGGCCTGGAGGTTAAGGAAGCAGGAAGCTACACGGCCAACATGATTTGAATCCTAGCCCTGGAGGTTTGAAAAACATGCTGGGCACATGTGCGTACATACTCAAAATCCTGACAGGATGGAGAAATAGAGAAGGGATGGCAGCGTGACTATGCCCCGCTTGGGTAGGTGGGTGGGGAGTGTTTGTCTCTGGAAAGCACACACACCATCTGGAAATTAAAACAAGTGTGTATACATAAATATATTTTCTAGCTTTGACTGCTTAGAAGGCCTTGAAACAAATATATTTCAGTATTAATAAGTGCATCTAGTGCCCAGATCTTGATTTCTAAAATTCTCTGCTGAAAGGAGTCAGGGGTCCTAGAAGAAATAGCTGAACTTAGGCTAAGGCAGAGAAATACAAGGAAATACTAGAACATTTAATAGTTCCGGAATGTAAACAAGTTAAGAAATATTATAGAGTGGGAACCAGCAGTTAGCATAATGGCTATGTCACTGGAATCCCATGTAGTTGACCACAGTTTGCGTCCCGGACCCGGTGGCTTAAAACTCATGCCGGGCGCGTGTGCGTGCGTGCCCAAGATCCCGAGAGGAGAATGGAGGAGAAGGGATTGCAGCGTGACCATCCCCCCTGGGGGATGATTTCTTGCTTTCTGTCTCTATGTCTCTCTCTGTCTGTCTGGCGAGCGCATGCACCCTATAGCCAAAAACCTCTCAAAAAAAAAAAAGAAAGAAAGAAATATTATAGAGTTATATCAAAGGGACAGAAGAGTCACCTTGAAGGAGTTCTCAATAGCCAAGTCTTGGAAATTTGGTGCAACAAAATAAATAGTAATATATTAATATAACCAAAAATAGTGTAACATAACCAAAATACTTGGGACCAGAAGCATTTCGGATTCCAGATTTTTTTTTTTTCAGAATTTGGAGTATTTGCATATACATTGTGAGATATCTTAGAGATGGGACTCAAGTTTAAACCCAAGTCTATGATATATATATTATATATAAAAGGTGTGCTTTCAAGACAGAGAGAGAGAGAGAGAAAGTGAGAAATCAAGTCTCCCTCTTGGGGATGGCCACACCATAATCCCTTCTTCTCCATTTTCCTTTCGGAATTTTGGACAGGAGTACAAACGCACATGCCTGGCATATTTTTTTTTTTAAGCCCCCAGGTCTGGGACTCAAACTGCAGGTGGCCATGTGGGATCCAGCTGCCTTAACCATCACATCATCTGCTGTTCCCTTAGTTAGGTTTCATATACACCTTATACACATAGCCTAAAGGTAATTTT